CATGTGTGAGGCACTGGGTTCGATCCTCAGCACCACATATAAATAAATAAAGAATAAAGGTACATCAACAAGTAAAAAATATTTTAAAAATTAAAAAAAAAAGTTTGTGCCCAAACTTCTTAGGAAGTAGTCCCTGAGAACTGGCCAGAAGCCAAATCAGATGTGAGTTACTATTTTTGCCATAAAAGTACCCATCAGGAAGGGCTCAAAAATTTGTTCTACAAGTATTTACCAAGCATCCTGTACATGTCAGGCACTGTTCTGGGCTCTGAAGAAACATGGATGAAGCAGCAAAGGTCCCTACTCTCCTGGAGCTTCCTCCCCTCCCTAGCTAAGAGGAGATAAAGAAGGATGGGGCTGGGAGTGGCAGGAGAGGGGGGCATGACAGGCTGGAGTAGCAGACATCACTTCTGAAGGTGGGATGGCAGTGGTGCAAACAGAACAAAAAGAGGAGGCCTGGCAAAGAGCTGAGTACCCTAACTGAGTAGGTCCAAGTAGTGTTTTTAAAAAGAAGGCTATTGGGCGACCTTTATTGGGTACCCTCTCACCTACAGGAGTTCTGTTGCTATTCACACTTGAATAAATCTTACTCTTACATTCATGGAAGGAAGGAAGGAAGGAAGGAAGGAAGGAAAGAGGGAGGCTACAGTCAACCCCAAGCATCCTACTATTACACATAAACCCATTTTTATTTCCAGATGGGTAATTTTGAGATACTGAGCCATTTACTTCGTTCCCAGAAGCTACATCTGTGACAGGCCAGAAATGACCAAAAAGTTATGCCATAAGACATTCTGTCTAGCAAAACGGCCTTTCCATAAATATGTATTTGTTATCATCTTTCAGGATCCATCTTTAATGGATCTGATCTGTCCAAGGGCAGATCAGATGCTGCTGTGAATCCACAGAAACTTCAAGATGACATAATGCATCAAATCTTTCTAGGGAATATTATTGGGAATTTTATTTGTAAATAGTCAAAACTCAGACAATTTATATCAGAGTGCCTCCAGATACTAAAAAAAAAAAAATCTTTTAAAAACTAAAAACCTAAAATAAACAGTAATGAATCTTTGATCTTTTAAAGAATGGCTTCATCTATGTTTATGTAATGAGACACTCTGCAAACGGGCTCCACCAAGCTGGAGCTAAGAAGATTCCTGTGAGTAAACACTGTTCATTTCATTTTGGCTGAAAACAGACAACACTTCACATGTGAAACCCTTTAGAACACTTTTTTTCGTTCTAAACATTCACATGCAATTTTTTAAATTACGCAAAAGATGCTTAGTCCTTTCTGGATGGTAGGAGTAACAGTGATTTTGTTTCACTATATATCATTGTATTTTCAAAATTTGAGGCAATGAACCTGTATAATTTTATAGGCAAAAGCCTAATTTTCCTAAAAAAAAGAAAGAAATAGAATATCTGATTTTTTTTAAAAAAAGGAATATATAGTGCTTAGTCTTGTTATAATTCCAATCAGAAATTCCAACTCTAAAATTTAATTAATTCAGGGGGAAAAAAGTAAGCCTTTAATCCAAAAAAAAAGTGACTACAGTTGGAAAAAGGACGTGGACCTAAGAGTCTCACAGACTCCGTTTAAATCCCAGCTCCAATACTTAGCAACTGTGCCACCTTGGGCAAGTGTCATTTCTCTGATCCATCATCCTTCATTTATAAAATGTCAATTGTGAGGACTAAGGATTGCCTGGGAGGTAGGCAAAACCATGCGGGGGGAAAAAAGATTATTCTGCTTCTTCCAAATAAAACAGATGTACTCAAAGATGGTGGCAGATTTGAAATAATTTCATTTGAAAACAAACACAGATAAATTTTCAAGAAAAAAATAAGTCTTAAATGTACTTAAGGCTGGCTACATCCATCCTTGCTTCTAGATTTCCAGTGGGAAGAAGGGAGAGGTAGACAATTGTAGATACATCTAAGAGGGCCTCTATAAAGTGTAGGGCAGAGGTTGGATAAACAACATCCATTATTGCTCCTAAGTAGGTACATGCAAATAAGCAAGAAAATTCTTTCACCTTCCTATTGTACAATTCAAGTATGGGAGTGGGGCAAGCTTTCCAAATGTTGTATATTACGTGTCCAACTCTACCTGGGGTGTTAGTAGGCTGAACAATTGATAGAGCTCATCACATTTATTCTTTACACAAGAGATGTGTAAAGAATATAAGAAGCAGGGCATGGTGAGGCACGCCTGTAATACCAGCAGCTCGGGAGGTTGAGACAAGAGGATCTCAAGTTCAAAGCCAGCCTCAGCAACAGTGAGGCACTAAGCAACTCAGTGAGATCCTGTCTCTAAATAAAACACAAAATAGGGCTGGGGATATGACTCAGTGGTCAAGTGCCCCTGAGTTCAATCCTTGGTACCAAAAAAATAATAATAAAATAATATAAGAAGCTGGAGAGAAGATAAACACACAGTCCAACATAAAATCAACTCTCCTAAATTTTGGTGGAAATCACCACTGTATAACCAACATCCACAAACATGTAATGTGTGCCCTAAAATCAACATGTTCAAGAACCAAATCAGCGTAGTAAGGTTTGAGTTGTTTTATTTACAGAGAAGGGAGCCTAGAAAAGGAAGACGTGAACCTCAGGAATTTTGTAGTCTAAATTCAAAGTGTACAAATGCTTTTTAAAAAACAGAAATCTTGGGCTGGGGCTGTAACTCAGTAGCAGAGTGCTTGCCTAGGTACTAGGTTCGATCCTCAGCACCACCTAAAAATAAATAAATAAAATAAAGGCATGCTGTCCATCTACAACTATAAAAAAAATTAAAAATAAAAAACAGAAATCTTGTCACTTCCATGAAAAATCTGGACAGGACCTGACTTGAGATTTGACTGCATCCAGCCATCCCTAGATTAGGGGTGCATGTTGGGAACTTTGAGAGTAGAGCCCAACCCAGGGTCACTGATACACCATCATTCAAATGTCTCTTAGTCAACAGCTGCACAAACCACCCACTTCATTAACCTGTTCTTGAATTATTTAGTGTTTCCCCAAGGGAGAAAAAATTATTCTTCCTCTTCTGCTTCAGGAGCTAGCTCAGAGAACTCCAAGCCTGAGAGAGTTGAGAGAGCTTCTGGTAACTGCCACCCTCAGGACACAACCAAACTAGAAACAGCAAGTGAAATATTAGCCTCCAAGAATGCAACTAATTCCCCAAATCCAAAGAAGCTGATTTTTTTTTTTCTTTAGAATACATGAGCAGAGGTTTGCTGCACCATTTAGGCATGGTCTATTCCATATCCTATTCTATTCTAAATTAGGTAAAGTTTCATTTTTCCTTAAAACAATCAACAACTTCAAGGCTTAATGTCCTGCCAGAGAGTAAACCCAGCATTTCAGGGCAGAAAAAGAAAGGGTTCAAAATTCCACCACTTCTGACTAGCAGTATTTTTTTTTTTTTATCAGTCCCTCAATTGCTGTGTGTGAATCCGTCTGTCATCCCTAGATTGTCAAATCAACTAAATGGATTCACACAATTTGAGAAATGGGGGAAAGCTTAGCGATTATCCAGGTCAACTTTCTCACTTTACAGATATGGCAGGAAGCCAGCAAGCATCTCTCCAAAGGTTACATGGTTAGAAGACTTCCTCCACCCCAGGTTTCCCTCTGCACCCTGTCACAGTGCCTTGTAGCAGGAGCTGCAGGAGCTGCTGCGTTCTATTTTTAAGATAAACCCTCTCATACTAAAAACCACTCATACAAAACACCAGCATCTCACCACCCCACAATTTCCTTCAGGTCTTCATTTTGGGTCATCTTCCATTGCATGCAATCTCTTAGAGGCTCACCAGCTGGTGCCTCCAGGAACTGGTTGGTCTCAGAATCCATCCCTGTCATCTGGGCTTGCTGGTAGAACCAGGCTATTAATGGTGAGTGCTCCTTCTAAAGCACCTGACCTTGGCCTTTTTTCTTACCAACCTTCCCACAAAGAGAATGGGCAGTTTAACCAACCTTTGAGAAGGAAACTCTGAGAGTTCAGTGGACTTGCAAAACGTCCCACAGTCTATAAGACCAGATTCCTCAGTCCTGCTCACTCACCTCTTTACTTTTTCTCTTTGGGGGCTTCTGGTTCTCAACCCACATCTCACCACCACCCTAGACCTGAAGACCCATGACTCAGAACTGCCTTCAACCAGCTTAGTCCCTAAAAAGATGTCTGCTGGGGAGTCCTGGGGTAAATCCTGCACCACTTAGGCATGACAGAACTTGCCAGGTGTGTCACCTGTGGGAAATCTCTGGGATCTTCAATGGTTGGGAACCCCAGCAGGACAGACCTCCCAGGCCTTATTCATCCTTTTCCTTCCCCAGTCTCCCTTGCCTCCTCTTGGTCCTCTTCATTGCCTTCCCGCCGCCTTCCACAGTCACTTTGTTTCCCTCCCCTCCCCAGGCCGGCCTCTCCCTACTTCCTCTTACAAGGAGCTCCCATTGTATTTTCACTTTGTCTCCAATTATGTCTAAATGCAACCCACCACAGATGCTGACATTTTAAATGTTTAGTTGTTATAGTTACTTGACTAATTGCCAGGTCCGACGGAGGCACTTCTTCCTCTCCCGCGGGCACGAGAGGAGGAGAGGAGGAAGAAGTAGGCTGGATGGGGTGGTAGCCACTTCTCCCCTGCCCGGGACTCTCCACTAGGTCCTGGGGAGGGTGCGCGGTCCTGGGGAGGGTGCGCTATCCTGGGGAGGGTGCGCTATCCTGGGCACCAACGATCCCTCCGCCTCCAGTTAGGGTACCGAGGGCGCGCCCCGCGTTGCTGCGCCTCCTAGCCTCAGAATTCGGCGAACGGTCTCCTGCCCCGGGACATGGGATCTGCAGAGAGTAACACGCAGGTACGCCTGGCTTGCTTCCCAGACCACCCACGCCGCTATGTGAAGAAAGTGAGGTGCAATCAGAAAAGGAGGTGGACAGGAGCGTGTTCGGGGCAAATGAAAAGAGTTAGAAACCGCTGCGGGTTACTCACGTGCCAGATGGCGAAGAAGATGAGCGCAGCGCAGAGCACCAGGGACAGCATGTAGCAGAAAGCGGCGAAAGTGAAGGCCATGGCCAAAGGACCCCAATCTCCCAAACACAAAGAAGCCCTAAAAGACGAATGCCCCCAGAGGGCCACACTCTCTCAAACGGGGGAAGAACAGAGTCCCGTCTGCACACTCCCCTGGAGGCCAGTGGCTAGGGGTTGGCACCGCTAGCGGAGAGAGGCTTTAGGGTCAGCGAACAGGGATAGAATTCCCGCAGGCTCTGGAGACCTAAGACCCAGCCCACCCGCGGAGACAGGGAAAGGTGCGTAGAGAGTCCTTGGTGACAAGTGTCCCCAAATCGAAGAAAAAACCAAATCGGTAGAGAACACCTGCAGATTAGTGCCAACTAGCGAGGCCCTGGAGACCAACAAGAGGAGAGATGCTAGGGTTCCACGGAGTACCAAATGAGGAGGTCCCGTTCCCCTGGAAAGAGCTCCCGGCTTTCCGCGCCTAAGCTGAAGAGGAAAGGCAAGCGCGTTGCTCAGGACCCTCCCACGCCAGCCGGGCGCAAATGGAGAGCGTCCAGCGAGGTGTCCAGGAGGACTCCAAGCTTCTCCCAAATCCCACAGTCAACAGTGGCTCTTTCCCGGGAGAACACGTCTTTGGATAGCCCAGAAAAGCCAGGTCCCGTTAATCCTGCGTCCCGGACGTGGGCTTCCAGAACAGCGCAGCTGTGCGCTCCGAGGCGCTCCCGGCCCCGGCCCCGGCCCCAACCGCGGCCCAGGGATACCGGCTTCGGTAACCCCAGTGCCTGGGAAACTGGGGGTCGGACCGGGGCGGGTCTGGACTCCAGCCCAGCGGACCAGCTCCCTCCCGGGCGGTAGTAGCGGCGGGTTTCTGGCCAAGTGCTGCTTGAGGCGGAGCTCGCTCCACCTGCTGCTGCCGCCGCTGCCTCTGCCTCTGCCACTGGGAGAAATGTAGCGGCGCGGCCCGGGATCCCCTTCCTCTCCGCGCCCCACCCTCCCTCCGGCTCCGCCGAGCACGCCTTCCCCGGCGGGCGGAGACTGCGGCGGCGGGGGCTGGGAAAGGTGGGTGGCAAAACGCTGCTGGGCGCTTGGTCGCCGCCGCCACTGCAGTCGTGCGCACCAGCCTTTCCGATGAACTTGAGGCCAGTAGTGCAGGCGGGGCCCGCGACCCAGCAGAGGTGGAGCGGGCCGGGCGAGCCAGGGACTCTTTTTAAACACGTGCGTCTGAAGGAGGTGGGTAGCTGCGGAAGAGTATGATGCGTGCTTCGCGCCTAAACCCTACAGCTGCCCTCTAGTTCTAGCAGTTTCGCCTTTCAGAGCGAAAAGTGTGGGGACTGGGTTTTGGGGGAGCGTTGCCTCGTCTTGGTTGGAGATAGAAGACGACTGTTGTACCGCGTGGCTGCTTAGATGGATTGTCCCAAACTCTACCGCACTCAGTACACTGTACTGCGTTTATAGCCCTGCTCCCAGACTCTGTAAAATTCTCCATTAACGTCCTTCTCTGACATTCTCCACATCCCCTCACCACCACCGTTTGACCTTGGGATTGGGGAAACATAGATTTTGAGGACTTTGCTGGGTAGAAGAGGCAACAACAGTGTTCCATTATTATTGGTATTGGCCTAGTGGCACTGTGAAGAGAACATGTGCTTTTTGGACACAGACCCTTTTCTAGCTTAAGTTTCTTAATCTCTCAAAACGTCGGTTTCTTATCTGAGAAAACAGGGATAAAAGTAGTACCAGCTACACGGGAGGATGCAGAAGCAAGATCACAAGTTGGAGGCCAGCCCTCAGCAATTTAGAGAGAAAATAAAAGTAGCGGGGGTGTGGCTTAGGAGTAAAGCACCCTAGGTTCAATCCCCAGTACCAAAAAAAAAAAAAAAAAAGTGTCAAACCAATGAAAAGGATTAAATAAGAAATAGAGGGAATAAGAACCTAGCACAGAGCCTGGCCTTTCTACACACATTCCATAAACGTTAGGGATTATTATCTCCCAGTGGCCCAGTATCTTGGAAATTCACATGCTTGCTTTGTAAGGAATCAATGAAAGGGGTTCCAGTCATTCCAAATAGAACCTGGGTTTCAGCTTCACATCATGTACAATCACAAAAATGGGATCCTAATTAGAATAAGTTATACTCCATGTGTGTGTATATGTCAAAATACACTCTACTGTCAGGTATATCTAAAAAGAACAAACAAAAATTTTTTTAAGAAGAACTTGGGTTTCAGATAAGTCAATCCAGGAAAAAAGGAGCAATGCCCTAAAAGATGATTGATGAATTGGGGTGGAACTACATCACGATTTGGAATAGTACCTTGCACAGAAAGGCACTAGATAAAACACTTGTTGCTTGATTCTAATGCTGGCATGCTAATTGCCCTGTGAATCCAATGACTTTAGTATTGGAAGGGAAGTTATAGAGCTAGCCTTACAACTAACCAGTGGCAAAACTAGAATTAGATATGAACATTCCTAATTCAGGGCTCTTTCTATTAAATCTCAGAGTTGATGCCTGTCTGGCCACACCTCCAGTTTAGAAGATGCCTTTCAGCTGGCGTGGAGAAACAGTACCATGTCGAGGAACTGTTGACCTTGGTGGTCGACAGATCTGCATTTAATTGTCTCTGGGCTTAGAAAATATGAAGCTTCTGGTTTAAAAATTAAGAATGATTTAAGACAGCAACAGTAGAGCATTAAACCAAGATGAGGTTCTTCCGAGCATAAGACCCTGGGCAACTGTACAAATCGCACACTGGTGAATCCAGCCCTTCTCTGGATTATACCCCTTATCACTTTCACCTTTACATTTACATAATGTATAAATTCAGTTTAACAAATCTGCAGCCACTTTGAGTCATAACCAACCTGATCAACCCCTGAGTTGCCCTGATCAGTTTTCCCTGCATAGTTTCCCAGCACACTATAAATAGTAGTATGTGGAAACTTACAACTGGACCCAGGCACCAGGAATGTGCCTGACTCTTTGACATTAACTTGAGATAAACTAGGTATATTCTAACTTGGATGACATCACTTTTGTCCTGAACACTTTATAAACTCCTTTCTGACCAAATTGTGGGGATCCACTTGGTCTTGCTACTGCCCATGACCATGCTTCCATCAGTAATTTCTCCAATAACCTGCCCAGGGTGCAATCCTGGGTCTGTTTGCTTGGGTCTCACAGCACTGTGGAGCTGGTTCTTATACCCTAGGACCAGGTCATTCCAGAACACATAAGTATTTCTTCCAGTATAAATTGCCCTTAAAAGAAAATTGAGAAAATGCAGAAATGAAGAAGATCAAACAAATAGCATAGTTAGCCATTCTCAAAAACAAAACAGTGGTTTTTATTTCTAGCTTCATTTTTTTTTTTTTTTGCTTTATACATATACAGTCCTTTATTTTCATTGTTGTAATCATATCACATAAAATTTCATGACACCTAAACAATAAGACAGTATCAAAGGAAAATTCAATAATTCAAGTAATTTGAGCTGGTCTTTTGTTCTGGTGGTTTTCTGTATCTGTTGCTTATTTTTTTTTCTTTGCTTGTTTTTGAGACAGGGTTTTGTGATGTTGCCCAGGCTGGCCTTGAATTTGCGATCCTCCTGCCTCAGCCTCTCCAGTAGCTGGGATTACTGGCACATGCCACTGCACCCAGATTTCCTCCTTTATACATTTAGTTTTTGTTTTCTAATTTTTCCTACCCATGTATAGTTAACACCTCAGTTTATTCCAAGTGAAGGCCAATAAAGTGTTTCCCATACAATGAAAAACTTGGTTCACCATGAAGTTTCTTTCAACATTATCCCATTTCTGTCTTTGCCTTATACTCCTGTCCCATCTCCAGCCTCGGGCATCTCAGGGAAATGATCAGTGCGTGAAGAGGAATGAGTTTGAATTTCTGGGAAGCTTAGTTACCCAGGCTGTGAGCCTCCTCCTGGCCCATCACTGACCTATTATGCCCATAGGAACATCTAACCAGACACTTCCTTTAATATAGAATTTGAGTGTCTCCATATCTGGCATTTTCTCCATAAATGAACTCTTGAGTTTCTCAATGTCCATAGGGCATATTCGATTCATCCCTTGCTTCCCAGCTTGGTCTTATCAGAAAGCCAGAAAGCTTCCCCAGTCTCCAGGTGAACTCCAGCTCACAGAGTTCTACACCCTGACACCCCCAGGATCCCCAACCTGCATTCACACACCCCCTTGAATCCCAACCAGAAAAGAATACTGCCCAGGCTGAGCCATGTGCCCTAAGATCTTTGTTTTCCTCTCATGGGTGTTTGGATGTTTGGAATATCCTAAGAATCAAGGTTTTTTAAAGTTACTTTATTTTAAAAATTTAAAAGACATAAAACATTCATTTATTATCTGATTCAACAGTGGTTAGCATTTTGCCATACATGCTTCCTGGTTGTCCTGAAATTGTATTTTACAGCTGGTTTGTTCAAACTAGGATCTAAAGATTTTTTCTCCTCACTCTGCATACCCTGGACACTTTAACCCTTTTCTTGTATATAATTTATGCAACAATAACTATTTAAAAAGTTGTGTGCCTGCCATTGCCAGCTCCGTGTGGAGCACAGTGACTTTATTCACTGGTAGCCAATGTCTGTTGCCCTCTGTGCCCTCGTATGTGCAAGTTGGCTCTGGCTGGCTTCGGACAGTGTTTCCTTGTTTGTCACACATTCACGTGTAAAGCTATGAATTGCAAATTTATGTGTGTTGTATAAATCGCCTCTTTATTTTCTTTAAAATAATTTAAATCTAACTTTGAGTCACATTCTGGCTTGACTGGTAAGGAACTTAGTATCCACCTTCACTGGGGCTCCCCACAAGATTGCAAAGCTGCTGGGGGGCTTACATAACATCAAAGCATAGGACAGCTCCTGCCAGTGTTCATGGATTCACACTGGATCCTGCTGAGACATCCTGCTAGACTGGTCCTTAGTCCCAGTGCCTTGGCTACGCCCTCCCACACAGCCATACTTCTGAGGTCTTGCCTCTTCCTCAGATTGCTGGCATGCAGTAATGTATGAGTCCCTTCTTCTCCAGGACCTCAACCTTGGCTTCTTTCTAGCCTGCAAGAAATTGCCTCCTGCTTCCCTCTGGCTGTTGGCAAAAGCATTCTCTCTTCTCTCCCATTCCTCCCGCAAAGGGACATCTCCCAGGATCTCTACTAGAAGATAAATCTTTCCTCAAACCAGAAAGAACCTTTGTCTTCAAAGATCTTTTACTTTTTACCTTATAATTTATTCAGCCAATATTCATTAGTGTAGCAGCAGTGACTCTTATAATGTTAAAAGATTTCTGTTCTGATTGGTAAAGAGTAGAATGGCTATAGCAGTAGGCAGTAAAGTCAATTAATAATTAAATTCTAAATTAAACTCATTCATTCAGGTTAATCATATAGGATGCCACAAAGACCATTGATAAATGGACTTCCTATATGTTTATCTATCACAAGGCACTTCATAATGTATGACACTTTTATCACTATACTGAATTCACATGGTTGCCACTGATTCTGAATAGTTGCTACTTTAGTTGTATTGTTCATACACTATAATTCTTATGTAAGTATAGTGTTTCAATATTTACAAATTTAAAAATTCATCAATAAAACATTAAAAACAAACTCAGAATAAAGAGATAATCAATAGTGGATACATTTATTAATTTTCCATTAAATATCACATACCTCAAGTATCTGAGTCTACAGAGAACAAGCAGTGATATTAATAATAAACTTCAGCCTAAAGGATCTTCAGTGACTGGAACACCTTTTACACTACAAGAAATTTACAAAATAATACAATACTTTTTATTTCTATAATAATAATTTTATTATTTTAACAAAAATATACCACCAGTGCTACTTTGGAGGTAAATGGTACTCAGAGTTCATCATTAAAAGACTTCATGAGAAACCAGAATATGTCACCCACCCCAAAATATGAAGAATTTCTGAGCTGAAGGCAATTAAGAACCAGATACAGGAAAGATCTCTTCCCTTCCTCCAACTGCTTAAAATCAGTGTCATGGTTTAGATATTAGGTGTCCCCCAAGAATCTCATGTGTGAGACAATGCAAGAATGTTCAGGAGTGAACTGATTACAACATAAGAGCTGTAACCTAAACTAACGTGGATTGACTGGATGGCAACCATAGGCAGGTAGTGCCCTGTGGCTGAAGGTCATTGGAGTGTGCCTTTGGGGTTTATATTTTGTGCCTGGTGAGCAGAGCTCCCTCTCTGCTTCCTGGCTGTCAAGTCCTGGGCTGCTTTCCTCTGCCTTGCCCTTCGGCCATGAAGTTCTGCCTTCTGCTCAGGCCCAGAGCAATGGAGATAGCTGACCAGGCACTAAACCTCTGAAACCATGAGCCAAAATAAACTTTTCCTCCTGTAAGATTTTCTTGTTGGGTATTTTGGTCACAGTGATATAAAGCTGACTAAATCAGGACATAGATTTACGAAGATAAAAGCCTACCTCCTCTTCTACCAGGGGAAACAAAGGTTGGCCGCAGGAGACAATTTTGGACCTGTATTGGCTTACAGATGGAACCAGAGGAATCAACTAGCCTTTATTAACTAGCCTTTATCTGCCATTATTTGCCATCCCTCAAGTTACCACCCCTAGAGATTCAAAGTACTTTTCCCTTTTTTATCACTTTTCTAAAAATTAACTGTTTTTTTATGAAAGATTATATTCATATATACATATATATATTTGTATGTATATGCAAAAATTTAAAGCCACCTTAGAACTATGCATTGTCTAAGTATCTTCCATGTATACATTAAATATACATGTTAACAAAATTCTGCTTTTCTCTTGTAAATCTGTCTTTTATGATAGCGGTCCCTTCTAACTAAAAACTTGAAGTTTGAAAAAAATATTCTTCCTCTACAACTTACATATTCATCAGAATGGCAGTGACATTCTGTCAAAAACCATGGTTTGATTTTTTAAAAATTGTAATTATCCATCAAAAGATTAACAAAAGCAATCAGAAGATCAGTTTTTTATAATAATGCATTTGAAAAAATAAAATCTAGATTTGTTTTTAATAAAACAATTGAAAATATTAAGAAAGAATCCTTATAAATGTTAAAACTATCCAGTGCTTAAATATAGTCGAGCATTTTCAAACATGAAATATTCAATAGCCTTTAAAAAATAATTATATCTATATGAGCATACACTGTGTTCCAAATTTATGGTCCCACTTGTTGGAAAACATATATCTTCTAAAATGAGAAAGCAACTTATTTGACAAGTTATAAATCGAGACAGTAAAATATTCATCTTCTATGAAACTGTTTCATATAAGGCATTTTAATAATTAATTTAAAATTAGAAATTTTTTAAATTTTTTTGAATCTTGTGGTGTTAAAAAGAATAATATCTAAAATAATGTACTAGACTTTATTGTGAATATTTGAGAAAAAATAGCATCAGTGAGAAGTATGTTCATGGAAACCTTTGGTTCAGACTGTGCTGGTATCTCTATGCTAGAGAGAAAGTCTGGCATTTCAGCTAAAATTTTGGAAACACTTCTGAATATTTTTAATTTATCACTAAGTCACTGTATTTAATTACCCCTAGATGATGTAATGAAGAATGTTAACCCAATAACTCACTTTGGTTTTTACCTTCATAAGTTTTATATTTACTATTGTGTTAGTGTTCCCAGGCTGCCATAATAAAATACCATAAATAGAGTGGCTTAAGCAACATAAATTTATCTTCTCATGGGTCTGAAGGCTGAAAGTCCAATACCAAGGAATTGGACAATTTTGCTTGTGGTAAGCACCCTCTCCTGGCATGTAGACAACTGCCGTCTCCCTGTCTTCAATTGACCTTCTGTGCACCTGTGGAGAGAAAAAGAGACCTCTAGTGTCTTTTCCTCTTCTTATATAGTAACAGTCCTATCAGATGAAAAGTCCACCCTTAGGAACCCTCTAAACCTTTATTATATCATTATAAGCCCTTCCTCCAAATACAGTTACATTGGGATTAGGTATTCAACATATGGATGGGAGGGACACACAATTCAGTCCACATAACTACAATAAGCGAAATAAACAGAATTAAGTAATATCTCTGATGATCTAGGAATTGAAATTAAAAATTGAAAGAATATTTGAACACCAATGGACAACCTATGCTTTAATGCAAAGAAAATTTAAAATTTTTATATTCACTTTATCATAACTTGTAAAATAGGAGTAAACATTTGGAATTTTTTTTAAAAAGTAGAGAATTAAACTGAATAAAAGTTAATCAATAAAAAATATAAATTAACCTTCATAAAGATTAACAAATAAAAATTAATAAAAGGTCTACTCACCTTTCTGTCACTATTACATAATACTTGATTTTAATCAAATATAAGGATGAAAGATTTATTTTGGCTCACAGTTTCAGTTTAGGTCCATGATCACTATTGCTTTGGGCCTATAGCATCACAGTACAACATGGTAGGAGCATGTAGCAGAGGAGGCCTAGAAGGCAATAGCAGTCAGAAAGCAATGAGAAAGACAAGAAAGGACCAGGATTCCAATATCCCCTTCAAGAATTCACAATCCCCATGACTTCCTTCCACTGGGCTTCACCACCTAAATGCCACTGTCTCCCAGTGGCACCACAGGCTGGCAACCAAGCTAGTCTTTTTTTTTTTTTTTAAGACTAAAATTTTTTTATTTTTTTCATGTCTTCATACATAAATTTTGGATAGTAATGATCATCACATTCCACTATCATTAATTACCCCATGCCCCCTCCCTTCCCCTCCAACCCCTCTGGCCTATCTAGAGTTTGTTTATTCCTCCCATGCTCCCGCTCCCTACCCCACTATGAATCATCAGCCTTATATTAAAGAAAACATTCGGCATTTGGTTTTTTGGGATAGGCTAACTTCACTTAGCATTATCTTCTCTAACTCCATCCATTTACCTGCAAATGCCATGATTTTATTCTCTTTTATTGCTGAGTAATATTCCATTCTGTATATATGCCACATCTTTTTTATCCATTCATCTATTGAAGGTCATCTAGGTTGGTTCCACAGTTTAGCTATTGTGAATTGTGCTGCTGTAAACAGTGATGTGGCTGCTAAACACCAAAAAAAGAAATAAACCAATCAATAAATGGGCCAAGGGCCTGAAGAGATAGTTCTCAGAAGATGATGTACAGTAAATCAACAAATACATGAAAAAATGTTCATAATCACTAGCAATTAGAGAAATGCAAATTAAAACCTCTCTAAGATTTCATCTCACTTTAGTCAGAATGGCAGCTATTATGCATACAAACAACAATAAGTTTTGGCGAAGATGTGGGGAAAAAAGGTACACTCATACATTGCTGATGGAACTGCAAATTGGTGCAGCCATTATGAAAGCAGTATGGAGATTTCTTGGAAAATTGGGAATGGACCCACCATTTGACCCAGCTGTCCCTCTCCTTGGTTTATACCCAAAGGACTTAAAAACAGCATACTACAGGGACACAGCCACATCAATGTTTATAGTAGCACAATTCACAATAACTAAACTATGGAGCCAAGCTAGCCTTTTTTCACATGAACTTTTACACATGGGAATTTGGGGGAAATTCAAGATCCAAATTATAACAAGTGGTATCTATACTTTACAAGAAATTTGTCTGTTAAACCAATAATTTAATTCAACAAAATAACTAAGTATATAAGTACAAATAAAAGAAAGTATAGAAGCAAAGATATATATTCTACTTGAAACAAGAAAAATTATAAATTGTAAGAAAGTTATTAGAATATCTAAGTTCTATAAATTCTTAAATTATGATCAAATAAATGTATATAAATATATAATCTCTAAATATAATTATGATAATTTAAATGATAAATTATTAAATGATCTAAAAATACATGAAAAGCATAATGAATTTTTAAGTTGTTTCTATTTATTAAATGCTTTCAGCTGAACCAGAAGCTGTTTACAAATCTCCATGGATTTATTAAATATTGTGTTCCAGCCCCCAACTGTCCCAGTCATGCCTCCAAACTGCCACACATGTGAGGAAGGCCACACTGGCCCTGTTAGCAGGACAGAGGAAAATGCTCAGCTAATCCCAGCCCACAGCTCAGAATCACTACCAAATGAAGGATGGCTATTTTTTTAACAACCAAGCTTAGGGCTTGTTTGTTATGCAGAAATAGACAACCTTAAAAGTTCTTTAATCAATAAGTGATCTTTTATTTGATACCTGTTGTGTTAGCTTTTCATCACTATGACAAATACCTGTTAAAACCAGCTTAAAGGAGGAAAAAATTATTTGGGCTCATGGTTTCATAGATTTCAGTCCATAGTCAGCTAGTTCCATTGCTTAGGTGCCGCAGAACATCATGGCAGAAGGGCATGGCTGAGGAAAACTGGTCACCTCATGGCAGCTGGGAAACAGAAAGAGAGAGAGGAAGTGGACAAGGACAAGATATAGTCCCCAAGAGCAACCCCTCACTGACCTACTGCCTCCAGTCATGCCCCACCTGCATACAGTTTCCATCACCTCCCAGTAATCCATTCAGCTATCAATAGATTAATCCCTGGATGAAGTCAGCACCCTAAGGATCAAATCACTTCCGAAAGGATCCAATCACTTCCCAAAAGGTCCAATCACTTCCCAAAAGATCCAATCACTTCCTAAAAGACCCATCTCTGAACATTGCTGCAGTGGGGACAATACCTCTAAAACATGAGCCTTTGGGGGACCCTTCATATTTAAACCATAAGACCTTTGTTGGCTTATATTTTTGTATTCCATATATTTTGATGTTTTAACAACACCTTTCTGTCCAGGGAGAGACTACCCTTCCTGGCACTAGCCAATCCTGAAGATAGTACAGGGAAGCAAACAGCACACCTTTGATATACAGACTAACCAGAGCACAGCCATCTCCTCTCTGTCCTGAATGCCCTTGAGGCAAAATCCTACCTTCTAAATCATCACGGAGCCAGGTACCAGGCAACTAGAGGCCACCAGTTATTATTTAAATTAGCCAGTTCTAAATTCTTCAAATTGCCCTACCTTGCCTTTCCCATGGGAGCCCCAATAAAGACCCAGACTCTCCCTTTCTCTTGCCCCTTCTGCCTCCTGACCTATACTGGTACTTGCTCATGTGGCCCTGCATGCCATGGCTCCTGTTCTTTGCACCTGTGAGTATAATAAACTTTGTTTTCCTGACCCCCTTCTGGGTGGTTGCACCTGACTCATTGAGGACAGAACTCTTCTGGAAATGAGGCAGACACTCTTGCTCTTCGAGGTTGGGTAAGATGTGCCTCCAGATCCGGTACCTCCACTTGCTCTAATCCCACACCTTCCTGAGCCTCTTCACATAGCAGAGGCACCCAGGCTCTGGAGACGGGGTCAGGGGGCTATGTCTAGGAAGGACACCTGGGCCAGGCCTGGGCTTTAGGGGTCACTTGTCCTCGTGCTTTGGAGTACTCAGTTACCACCCTGATTAGTTTTATTATATTAAAATATACAAAATAAAGTTTACCATTACTGTTGTAGGGACAGACGAGGCAGGGCACCAAAGATAGCAGGAAACAGTTTTATTTGGCTGCAGCCAGGTTTAGAGGGCACAGCTTTTGCTGTAATCAATTAATCCCCTGAACCCCGAATTCAGGTAGTTTCGGAACTTTATACCCAGCATGTAAGGGGAGGGGCTCAGAAGTTCACAGTCTGCAGAAGTTCACATAAAGCAAGCTTTTTCTTTCACTGTTCTGGGTAAGTTAACCCTTCAAAGACAACACCTGACAAGGGGAGAGCTTCTTCTCCCCTTTCTTTCCTCCTCCTGCCAGCTGTTACCATGGAGCCTAATTGGTAACTTCTCTTAAAAATGTAGACATCTCTGTGAAGCTCCAGCTCAAGGCCACAGGCCTTGTTAAAGGATTTTTTTTTTAATCGCATTTTGCATTTGCAAACACACTTCTACAAACTACTATACTGGATAAATGTTTGTGAAAACTAGTAAAGGAGCATTCAGCACCTGGAGTGCTGATTTCTTCCAGGACAGTGGCCAAGTAAAATACAGCAACAGGAAAATAGGAAGTTTAACTACATTGAACTTTTTTGTACAGACTCTTTTGCTTACAGTCTAAAAATCAATTATGGTAAAGATTTCTGGAGAAGCTTAGTTAAGATTTTCTTTGTGGAGGAGGGAGTGCCACTACATTACAACCATTTTTAAGAGTTCTGTTCCTGAAGTGTCCTCCAAAGGCTCAATTGTGTTAAAGGTTTGGTCACTGCTGGGAAGTCTTGGGTTCTTTAGGAGTGATGCCTACTGGCAGGAAGTTAGGTCATTGGGGGGTATGCCCTTGAAGGAGGCACTGGGACCCTGGCCCCTTCCTCTCTCTTTCTCTGCTCCCTGGCTGCCATGAGGTGAACAGCTTTGCTCCACCACACCCTGTGCCAGCTCGGTCAGTGCACACAGGATGGACAGGACACTGCAAATGAAGAAGCCACACTTTCATCAAAAAAGTGATGGAACGGAGCATGAGTTGGGAATGACGATTTCAGAGTATCCTCATGTCTAGGAAGATGGAGTAATGGAATGCACTGGCGTGTTTGCATTCCCCATTCTTCTAAATGTCATCTTCCCAATCTGTATATGGGGTAAAAATGGGAATTCATAACCCACTTGAATCAAAGTGTGAAATATGATATATCAAGAAACATGTAATGTTTTGAACAACCAACAATAAAAAATTAAAAAAAAAATAATAAAAAATAAATGTCATCTTCCCTAAACACTGCCTTCCAGTGGAAATCAAGTGATTTTCCTATTATTGGCACCACTAAACAGGCTCTAAACAGATAGCAAACAATGAGCTTTTGTTACAAATACTCCATTTAGTTTGGGGCCCTAGTTCCTCCCGCACCTGGAGATGGGTTGTCTATTTTAACAATACTACTTAAGAGGCAGCTGCCTCATCAGGGAGAATTGGCTTAGAAATGGCACAGCTTGAGGGGGAGGGCCTTAATGGTTCTTGCTGGAGATGTGGAAGCCCACACTCTTCCAACTTCATGTCTAACATTGACTTCAGTATGTTCTGAGAGTCCCTTCTCCTCTCACTGATTTCTGTCCTCTTTGTCTTCTACTCCTCTGTGCTCTACCAAAATCTCAGCTTTTAAAAGATCTGAGACAATTATTCTTATTGTCTCATTTCACATAAAAGATGCCTGAAACTGTTGTAAAGATCAGAGTGAGCACATATAGGCACACACACACAAACACACACATGAACAGGAAATGAAAGAAGCTTTCACAGTGGGATAAAAACAAGTCCTGGAAGTCTCTTCTGAATGAGCACGGGATGTCATCATGACCCTACCAGCTAATGACAGCTTACATGCCTATGTGTTCCATGAAAGTAGTTTATAAATAGTCGCTATTAATAATCAATGTGGATTGCTTCCTGGGTGCCAGATCCTGTGCAAACACTTGCTGTGCACTATCTCCATTAATGCTCACATTCTGACATATTGATATTATCATTCCCATTGTACCAGTGAGGAAACTGAGACTGAGAGAATCTTATGGCACTTGCCACAAGGTCACACAGCAAATAGCAGTATTGGCTACGATTCATTCTCAAATCTATGTGACTCTATAGCCTAAAGTCTAATCCTCTCTCCATATACCCCAGAGGAGAAGGCCCAGAGTTGCTGCCTCTCTGGAAAGTGATAGAAGCTTAAGCCTCTGAGAATAAAAATGGGCTTTTATAGTATAATTTCTAAGATCTATAAAACCAGAAGTTCTCCAGCTGGGACCTCTGTGTCTTGTTGTACATGGCATCATGGGAATGGAGTCACCCACAATGCCTAGAACTGCAGAGCTACCAGCATGCAACACCAGCCTAGGAGAGCTGCAGACAAGATGCTCCAACACAGAAGAGCTGCTGAGAGCTGAGTCCAGCAAAGCCATGGGAAGTTTACATCTGGAAGGCAGGACA